CACAAAATGATGGTGGAGACAGAAGGGGCATTCCGGGGGCGGGGGGGGGGGGCATCATTTAAATTCCGTAATGTGGCCATTCTGTAATGCTGAGCAGAAGGCCTGGGGGGGTTGAGGGGCAAATCCTTTGCCACACAGCTGTGAATGTGCTGCTTAGTCCCGGTGAAGGTGGAGCAGTGGGAAATTTGTAGAACATGCTGACTAGCCTATGTGGAGAGCAATGTCCCATCTATCATGTGAATCAGAAGTAACTATAAGAGTATACAAGTGTTCTTCAGTTGAGGGCCAACCTTTGGCCTACCAGCTACAATCAGCTGGCTCTTGAGTATAATCGCCTATGTGCACTTGGGCGAACATCTCTGTTGGCATTAAACCGTGGTGTTGTGCGGCTGCCATTTTCACATCTGTTTTAAAAGTGACTCCCGGCTGCTGAAAAATATTGACACCCACAATTGAATTAAATCCTGCCCGACAGAAAACATCTTCCATGAGCTGAGAGTAAGGTATGTTCTTTCTGGAGGGAAAAAATAAACGTATATGTTTATCTCTGAAACAGACGATTCTTCATGAATTCCAGGCTGACCATGTCTTTGGAGAAATGGCCAACTCAAGAGGTAAAACCAAGACGGCCCACAATGCACCACGTGTGAAGAAGGGGGGGCATAAAAGTCCTAGGAAGAACAAAAGCATCATTGAAAATAATGGTAATTACAAAGAAATCTCCTTTTCTGGAGCAAGTAGCACATTAACTAAGGATCAACCTTTCTCCTAAAGCTACAAAAACATTAACTAGCAGTTCAATTTAGCAAGTCTTGGAAGCCATAACAAGGAATTAACTTTGATCAAATTTCTCCAACTGTAGCTCATGTTCAGGCCTGCAAGCCTATGAGCGAGAACCTTGTGGCGTCTTGCATCAGCATGGCCAAAAGACCAGAGAAGAAGCCATACACAGAAGCCTCAGAGCAGGCCCAAGAGCAGCCCTTCCTGGCCTTGGACCTGTGGTGGAATACAGCGCCCCCCCCTGGCCAGCAGCGCTGGAGCAACCCAATTGAGGGGCTCCTCCCTTGGAGTGCCAGCTCCCATACCTGCCGTCGGCCTCTCACAGAATGCCGAGTGTATGCCGGTGACTTCATTCTCCCCCGCAAGGACTGCCACTGGATATGTTCCGCCGAGCATCCGCCCCCCCGCGTCATGCGGTCCATCACCGACCTGGATTTGTACGACTCCAGCGTAAGTGAAACCAGGGTTAGGGTTCGGCTTGAGCTCGGGATGCTTTAAGGCAGGGCACTTCAAATCTGGCCCTCGATTCCAAATCCAGGCCATGTTTTCAGTCCTCCCAGGTTGTTAGTTTAATAATTACTGATTTTGATTGGCTGGAGGCTTCACACCTGGCTCACGGGTTAAATCAGCAGAGCTCAGACCTTGAGGACCATGATTTGAATAGCTCTGATCTGAGGTCTTATTAATCCAAACCTCTCCAGCCTGAAAAGGCTGGTCTTAAACACAACCTTAACATAAATTAATTACAATCCTAAGCGGAGATTTTATCCTGCCTGATTGAATGCTGACTGGATTAGGCAGCATTTACTTTGGAGAAGGTCATGCTCATCTGGAACATCACTGTGACCTCATTGGTGCAACTGAACAGATGATATTCCTTTTTGTGAAGGGACAGCCAATGAGCACACAAGTCTTGAATCAGCCTGTGAGATTGTGAATTCTTGTTGGAGAAAATCCATCCACCCATTTTCTGTAACCGCTTGTCCTATTAAGGGTCGTGGGGGGGTCCAGAGCCTATGGGCACAAAGCAGGGAACAACCCAGGACGGGGCGCCAACCCATCTCAGGGCACACTCACACACCATTCACTCTCACACACCATTCACTCTCACACACCATTCACTCACATATCTACCCCACGATGACAAAGGGAGAACGTTCAAACTTCACACAGGGAACCTGGGCTGA